TCGTTTTCATTTATGTCCCACTGAAGAGGGTCCATGACGTGCGATGTCATTCAAAGTGTTTGTGGAGAATTGAATTCTTAGCTGGTTTTCTTCCCATAGTTGTCTTTTGCTAATTTTCACTGGCCATTTGATCACTATTATAATAGAGCGGATATTTCTAAAATCTGTGACATGTTGTGAATCCTATTTGTGACACAAACGCCAAGTTTTTGATCCACTTAATATTGCTGTTGAAAATCCTAATCTTATTCTTTATCCTGAGTGACTTTTGTCTTTGACAGCTTCATCCATTCCGTCTGACTGTGGTTAAAACCATGCTTCCTAGCTGAATAAGCGAAGGAAGTACCCCTGTCAAATCTCTGCCATTGATAGTGATTGGTGCCGGCTATTGCCGGTGTCACTGTTGGCTGATTGTGCATATCACCTCCGTCTATTTTATGTTCACCTATAGCCCTGTTCTTGCTGCTTGCCTTTTCAGGTATTTTGTTGGCTTTCCTTGTGTCTGCAAGTCTTCGGGTTTGTATGACATTAAATACAGACCATCCACATGTGAAATCCAGATCTTCTAGAGTTTTCTTATTGGTCAGTCCAACGTATTCCTATCTTCTCATTTCCTAAGCAGTCTAACGCATAATCCAATCAGAACCAATCAGAAGACAAGTTTCCTGCCACACAGTTCGAGATTCATTCGACTTTATCGAGTCAATTGAAAACATCAACGTATCCAACAGGACCATGATCTCATTAGATGTCACATCACTATTCACAAATGTTCCACTGACTGAAACAATATGCTATGTATGCGAACTTATTGATTCCAAAGGAATAAACATCGGTATACCCACCGAGCGTCTTAAAGAACTCCTTCTGAGGTGTACCCTGAATGTTCAATTCTCTTTCAACAACGAAATATATCGCCAAAAGGATGGTATAGCTATGGGCTCACCACTACTAGGCCCATCACTTGCAGATTTCTTTATGGCAAAACTCGAAAACACATGCATGAAGAAAATGATCGATACCTTCGGAATTTACAAGAGATACGTCGACGACACTTTCATTATCGTCAACAATGAAGAGAATCTAGACGACATCCTGAAGTCGTTTAACAAGTGCCACCCCGCAATTCAGTTCACGCTGATCAATTATCTAATTTTGACAAACCTCATGTAAACACACACACACACACTCAAATAATTATATATAAATGCGATTGTACAGGCTATGTGAATGAATTCGCCGTCGAAAAGAGTCTCTTCGCTGAACGTCTTCTCTTTTTCATAATCCAATCAACCACAATTAAGACTATCATCGTGGGTGATAATAGGCAGCCAGCTTTGTTTTACTCTTGTATTCACTTCAAACACCTCGCTGAGTTTTTCGTTGTAAATCATCTAAAATGTGGCACTGTCACATTGACATCTTTTCAATAATTTAATAATTCCCATTGTAGCATTAAGAACACAATTTTCAGCGAAGAGACTCTTTTCAACGAATTTATTATCAAGCTGTACAATCGTATGTGTATGGTTTTATAAAGAAATTATATCCGGTGAGGGAATTAGGTCAAAGGTGTAAATACATGAAATAATAATAGTATGAAATAAATTTAAAATATTTGTGATTAGGTTCATAGTTTAAGTCAAGTGGAACAATAATTAATGTCATATATAAGATAATACATCGGGTGTATAGATTTTGGGGAGAGGCATATAATTGTAAGATTAATAGACGAATGTAAAATGTTACGTAATATGGTGTGAAATTTGATAACAAAGAATTTAATATTGTAAAAATAAAGATAAAAAGTATACACATGAATAATTTTTGGTTTAAAATGTCAAGTAGATCAAGTGGAAAAGATTCAGAATGAGAGTCGTAATAATAATAATAATGATAATAATAATAATAATAATCGAAGTAATAAGGGAAAAGTACATAAAATAATAAAATAAATGTCTATCCCTCTACGGCCAAGGCAGCAGTAGGGATTGTACATACTTCTTTTGTACACAAAGGTCTGGCTTAAAGTCATGAATTGCCAAGGCCTCAGCTGTTTTTAGAAGTCTGTAACGAAGAAAACGCGGGAAGTTGGCATGAATTCTGTATATGACCTTGAAATCATGGTCAGGGTTGACCGAGTGACAGGAGTCGATGAGGTGTTCTAAGATAGAACTTCGCACACATTTCCTTTCTCCTTTGTAAAACCAAGCTGGAATATGTTCTCGTATCCGTGTGGAGAGCATTCTCTGACTACGGCCAATGTACCTTGCTCCACAAGAGCAGGTGAACTGGTAGATGCACATGGAGGCGGTCAGACGGGGGAGCTTATCTTTTACAGAGGTAGAGAACAGTTTGCGGCTCGTGAACGTCATATGTAATCTAGCTGCAGGGAACGTTTTACTAACTGATTTAGAAAGACGATTTTTGAGCATATCAGAAGCTTGATCTCCTTTGAATTCCAAGTTCACAAATAGGGTTTTCTTTGGAACTGAGTCAGTGACCAGTTTAGACTGCTTCTCTTTCATGTTTCTGTCATTGACATCTATTGAATGAAGTTAATAAAGACTTGAGCACTGCACGCCAATGTGTCGAAGCAATTTCCAAATTACTCCTCGGTCAACACTGTCTGTCGAAGGCCTTCTCAAAATTGATGAAGTGAAGTTAGAGGTTTAACTGCCATTTTATACTTTGTTTGACGATGATGCGTAGAGCTGTAATTTTGTCCGTACATGATTTACCTTTCCTGAATCCAGCCTGTTCCGTGATGGTGGAGTTCTGTATTCAATGCATCTTTTAGTCTCTCCAGGATGACACTACTTAGTATTTTACTTGGCGTGGACAAGAGCGTTATTCCACGCCAGTGAGTTCTTGCAAAGGAGTAGGCCACCCTTCTTTAATAGTTTGAAAAGGTAGCCATTCTTCCAATTAGTAGACAACTTTCTTTCCCTCCAAACAATTTACAATAGTAGAGTAAGCATATGTGAGTTATTAGCCTAAAACCTAACCTCCCGTCTTTTTCCGCATTATAAATGGCTAATAAGCTATTATTGAGTTTAGAAATCCGTTAACAGGTAGTCAAATTCACGTTTTATATGTGTTACAGGATGATTCTACAGGTGAATCACCAGCGGAATGATATTCAAAATATAAACTTTTCATGAACTTACGGCGAGTGATAACTCATTACAGGTTATGCTCTAGCTTGTCCCAGCTTGATTTTAAAAAAAACTGTATCCTGATATCATGTTTATCAGGGTCCATGAAATGAGAATAAAGTGAAGAACGAATGATTCCATATTAGTTTGTTTATTAGATGTATCACACAGTGGGTGAAACAGTATTATTTACTGGAAGACACAGTTTCGAACAAAATTTATTTTTCATAATCATATCAGTTTTAATTACACAACTTCAGAAAGTATGGAGGTAAATGCAAAAATAAAATAAATAACGATAGTAGTGATTTTGAGAATGATAATAATAGTAATGACAATAATAGTATTATATTATATATATATTATTGTATCCTTTAGTTCCTAGAGGAACATAGGGCTTCATCTGCGCACCTCCATTACCTTCTGTTTTTTGATTACTTTTTCACCCCGCTCCATGTCTGTCCACATGCTTTCGTCTCCTCCTCGTATGACCTCCTCCAAGTCACCCTTGGACGACTAACTCGCCGCCTCCCTTTCGAGTTCCGCTCGAGGGCTGGTCTAGTGATGTCATTTGATGGTTTCCTCAGAGTATGGCCAATCCATCTCCATTTCTTCCTGCCTATTTGTTTCACAATCGGTTCCTGATGGGTTCGCTCCCAGAGATCCGTGTTGCTGATCTTTTCTGGCCATCTGATCTTGAGGGAGGTATTGAGTAAAGACAGCTGCTGATAAAGGTCTGAAGTTTGTTTGAGATGCTCTTTATGACTCGCCAAGTCTCTGATCCATATAGCAAGTAGCACTGACTTCACATTGGATTTGAAAACCCGGATCTCATTTCTCATGGTGACTGATGAGTGTTGATTTCCACACAGAATTGAGAGAAATGAAAGCTTGTCTTGCTTTCCTTATTCTTGCTTTGATATCCTCATCAGTTGCGTCTACCTGTAGTTGAAATTATGCTTCCCAGGTTGGTGAGAAAAAGAGGTTGTTTCTTTCAGGTTCCTCCCATTTACGATGGCTGATTCTTGTCTGTTGTTGTTGCTGTTGGTGTTGGCCAGGAATTTTCATCACCTGCCTCTGTTTTCTCAATGTTCTCCTGAAGTCCTATCTTTGATGCCTTTTCTGTCGCCAACTTGTTACTTTTCACTTGGATATATATCTTCCAGATATGTATCGTCGGCGAAGTTCATATTCTTTAAGTTTTTTGTGTGGGTCCATTTTATGCCTGTTTCCTCGCTACCTTGCCCGCTGTCTATCGCATTATCCAATCCACTGCAATCAGGAAGATCATTGGCGATAGTACACAGGCTTTCCGGTCCTTGTGAGGCCAGCTAACTATAAATTAAGACAACAGAACAAATTGAAGAGGTGATGTTCCACTTGGAATCTAAAGGAATAACAACACTAAAAATGCTACATTTAGGAATGTCGTGACTTCGCTGAAAGATTTTCAAGGTTCGACAATCTAGTATCATTTATTTTGTGTTTCACTGATGTTTTGTTATACTGAATTACTAAGTCTTTGTTTGAATGACAGCCCCAGATGACTATCAGTAGAATCTACACTACACATTTCATCCTTTTGAGGGCTCATCAGATGTAGATGTTCCTAAATTTCCAGTTAGTAAGTAAGTAAGTGATAGTCTTTACTTTCAAATTCGAACCCAGCATATACACACACCATTCAGTTGATGAGTTTTACGCTGAGTGAAACACATCTTCAAAAGTTCACTGCTTACCTTCTTCAACCATGTTCTTTTTCCTTAATCTATGTATTGACAACTTTTTATTCATGACTGTAGTGAGCTATAAATTTCCTTCTTTTTTTATTCTCTCTTCTAGTTAATTGTAAATTTTCGTAAGAAATCGTCAAATGCCTCATCAGCGCAATCTTCAGCAGGTCCAGCAGCACTAACAGCGACAACAACAACAACAACACCAGTAGTACAAAATGAGGTACAACAAAAGACATCACAAGAAAACTACAATATCAGTGATGATATTAATGATGATGACGAAACAATCAACAAATCTAGACAGTCTTACTATCAACCAGCATACAGGAGTAATGATAAAGCGATCGATAGAAATCTAAATGCACCTCTCTCTGTAAAAAATATTGATTTCTGTCAATCACCAATAACCTGTGGTATTGGCAAAATTATATGCGATACTGGTGTCACTTATATCCATTCACATTCACCTCTGGCTGCGGCAGCGGCGGCGGCATCATCATCGTCACCGCATTCTCGACAATTTCAACAATCCCCAGAATTATCAACACTGACTGATACGATGAAACCTCCACCGCCACCGCTGAGGTATTTAGATCATCGACATAGGTCACCTACACTGAATACATCGTGTGATTGTTGTCAAAGTAATGCATGGACAACTGATGAAGACAGTCGAACAGGCAGAATAAATCGATATTATCAAAATGTTAATCCAATCATAGATTACCAGCATAATTCATCGTATCCTGTAACAACATATATTGGTGAGTGAAGAGTAAAAATATTTTCATTATACACTCACCTGTGTTTTGTGTTCATCAAATAATAATAATAATAATAATTTTTATGAAAGGTTTTATATCATGAGTTGACATCGGTTAGAGAACCGTTGGAAATCCAGCGAGGAGTAAGGGACGTCTTTTCCTTCAGCCTAGTGTGAGACTTTTCAGTAGTACAGACCAACCAATGGGGTTCGAATTCAAAACTTTCTGATTACAAGCGAGCTGGAAGACAATTCACTAGTCACTGGGACCCGATTCCATGACCAGCCTATAAATTCCAACTTCTGCCAATTCGCGGAATTGGGTGACCGTCACCAAACAATGTCATCTAGCGGGAGTATTCGTTCTCAGACTGAACTATCTGCTGTACTGTAGTGGTCAAGATCTCTCACTAGAAACCAAGTAACTACCTACCTGAATAGGGCCAGTCACTGGTGGGCATCAGATTTATATTCAAAAGTTGGTTTGAAGGGAATAAGTTGATTACTGAATTACGTCACGCCGTTTGAATATCTGGAAGTACTGGACAGCCGTTTCATCCTAGTTTGGGATTTTTCAACGGTACGTGGCCGTGGAAGGGAGAGTGAAAGACATGAAAAGATTAGCTGTCTTTGATCATAGGTGCCTGGACTGTATCTCACGTGTTAAGTGGTATGATAAGATGAGCAATATTGAGGTTATGCATCCGTCGAATTCTAGGTAAACAGGGGAAATCAATCGACGAGGCTGTGAAATTACATCGACTGAGATGGTCAGGACATGTGTTACGTATACCTAGTCATCGCCTTCCTCAACCGGCAGGCGATGTTAGTTGACATGGGGTCAGGCTGGAAAAGAGCTAGCGGCGGTCAAACCAAAACATGGCACCAGCCAATGAAATCCACAATAGTTAGTTTAGGCCACCTAGTCTCGTAGGAAGATGTAGACTTCCTGACTGGTTGGGGTCCTCGAGACGGTAAAATCCAGTGGCTGTAGACAACTGGTGATATGGCTCAAAATCGTTCTCAATAACTGGCGAAGATGCATCCACTACTTGTGACTTTTGATTTCCAATGAAACTATATTGTTCTTCGTTATTACTATTCCTTTGTCTCACACTACTGTTTACTGTCTCTATTATGCATTTCTTCCACTTTCTTCTCTTTCTTTGTGTTCTTTATGGAGGGAGTGTGGCGACTTGAACTGTCACACATCGGTGCAAAGTTCCATGTCGAAAGCAGACAGACAGACAGAGGCTACCGTGGGAGTTGTAAACCATGATCTGGGTTTTCCAAATGGTTCTCCAATTTAAATCAATCTGTGATCAAAAATGAATAAAAAAAGATCAAATCCCTACAAATTAAATCTTGAAAATTGGTCTGAAGCTCTCTAGTGACTGGCAACCGGGAAAACCTTGCCTTGAGTTCTAGCGAGAGGTCACCACCAGTCATCTCCACCAGGTCGTAAGTGAGGACAAATACTCCCGTCGATGAGACTGCTTGCTTGATGATTGCCCTAAAAATCACAAATCATTGGAAGTTAGAATTCACGGACTGGCCATTGAAAAAGGTCCCAGCGGCTTAATGGTCTACGAGCTCACCTTGTAACCAGAAGGTCCTGGGTTCAAACCCCTGTGGTTAGTTCGTATATTGCTGAAGAGCTCAACAGTTGGATTAGACAGCTGGCTCCCAGGCTTTCCAATAGTTCTCCAACTGCTGTCACCTCATGACAAAATCCAGTAACTAACCAAATCCCTGTTAACGAAGGCTTCAATATTTTTTTGGTTTCTCTCCTAGATTGTATATCACTGTTCTGACATTTGGATATCACTTGTTGACTTAAAACTTATTATATGCCTTTATTCCTGTTTATTCTCTAATTTTGATACATCTCTTTGTGGTTTTATGGTGACATTTTCTGGTGCGATTTTGTTTGAGTCAAGTGAAGGAAATTCTGTCTTTGGACTGTCTGCAGGAAGTGTTGGTGCGTGATTCTTGTGGACAGTGTGTTTTTGATTTCACCTTGTTGAGAGTATGCTACATTGATTCTAAGCGCTTCTTTTGCGCTTAGATTTCGGAGACAAACAATCGTCTTTTTATTTTGATATCTTTGCGATGCTTTATAACTTTGACAGCCATAGTTCAGGACACAAGCATCAGTTCTTTGCACTTTGACCACAATGTATCGATTTTTTTTTGTTCACTGCACACTGACATTGTTTGCCTCTTTTCATCTTGTCGTATAACGTATAATGTGATATCTCAGAGTAAGATTTTGATTCAAAGTCAACAAGTGTTAATTTCGAATCTTGAGCATCTGCGTGGTATCATAAGGCGACACAGAATAATTTGGCCTCATAGCCGGTATAATTATTATTATTGTTCCCTTGGATTCCTAGTGGAACATACGGCTTCAACAGCACCACGTCTCCACTTTGTTCTTTCTTCTGATGTCCTCTTCAGCTGACTAGCCCTTACGATTGTCGACAATCTCTCATCTCCTCATCCAACTCACATGACCCAGTCATCGCCTCCTGTTCGGATTCCAACTAGAGTTGTCATTCAACCGACGGTCTCCTTAACGTATACCCAAATCATCTCCATTTCCTTCCACAATATATGTGTTGAACAATCAGTTCTTGGTTGTCTTGTCAACACCCAGAGTTTCTTGAAGCTAATTCTTTCAAGTAATTTGGAAATTACTCGAGTACTATGGCGTGCAGCGCCCAAATATTCATCAACCTTATTCAACAGCTGTACGACAACGGCACCTGCCAAGTGATCCACAACGGAAGACTCAGCGAGGCGTTTGGAGGAGTAAACACAGGAGTCAGACAAGGGTGCTTACTATCGCCAATGATATTCCTAATTGTGGTGGACTGACTTGATTATGCGTCAAACAGTGGGAAACGAGAAGACAGGAATATCCTGGACCGACGTGAAGGACCTAGAAGACCTGGATTTCGCGGATGACTTATGTTTGATGTCACACACAATCGAAGACTTACAAGCGAAAACCGACCGACAAACTGGTCGAAGAAGCAGCCGGCGAAGACAGGACTCCAGGTAAACATAGACAAGAAGGAGGTTATAAAAATAACCAACCAACCAACAACAGCAACAACATCCAACGTCAATCACCATCAACGGGAGGGATTTGAAAGAGGCTACTTCATTCACTTATCTAGGGAGCATTGTCTCAACTACAGGAGGAGCGGACGAGGATGTCAAATCGAGCGAGAATCGGGAAGGCGAGAAACACATTCACTCATCAAACTGAAATCAATCTGGAAATCTTCGTCACTCAGCATCATCAACAAAATTCGGATTTTCAATACAAACGTAAAGTCAGTTCTTCTATACGGATCAGAAACTTGGCGGGTCACAAAGAATATTTCCAAAAGGCTGCAGACCTTTATTAACAACTGTCTTCGCTCAATACTGAAGATCAGATGGCCAGGCTGAAAGAATCACCAACAAGGAATTATGGGAACAAACAAAGCAAGAACCAATCGCCAACCAACAAATATGCAGGAGAAAGTGGAGATGGATCGGACACTCGCTGAGGAGACCGCTGGGTGACATCGCGCGCCAAGCCCTTGAGTGGAACTCGAAAGGGAAGCGGCGAGTGGGTCGTCAGTGCGAGGGTGACATGGAGGAGATCGTGTAAAGAGGAGTTGAAAGAATATGGATTAACATGAATGCAGGCGAAAAGTATAGCAGAAGACAGAAGAAAATGGAGACGTGCAGTTGAAGCCCTATGTTCCACTAGGAAACCAAGGGAGCAATAATAATAATAAAAATTCTTTCAAGCCCGCATGCCGGCTGACTATTTGATTTTCGGTAAGAAGCAGCTGCCGATAAAGGTTTGCGACTTCTTGGAAATGTTTTTCATGACACACACACACTGTGCAAGTTTCTGACCCATATAAAAGAACTGACTGATCGACTTTACACTGACACTGAAATACTAATCTTGTTCCCTATGTGGAGTCAGTACAGAAGGTTTCCAAAGTGGTTTCAGGTTAATGAAAGTGTATCGTGCCTTTCCGACCCTCTTTGGCTGGCTAGGACATCTTTATCCCATCCGCAAGCCATGGTTGTCTAGAAGGACGACGGAAGCTACGCAGTTTGAGTGAACCAACTCTAGCTAAGAGAACGCAGCTAATTCAAAATATCAGATTTTCGTTAACCCACAAATTATCACTGTGTCCATTTCAAGGCTTAGTCAAGAATAAGGAAGAATAACTCAACTGTTTCACAAATCAATATATATGTGGGTAACTCAGGCACTGTGGTAGTAAGTAATTTCACATTAGTTTGTTTATTAGATGTATCACACAGTCAGTGAAACAGTATTATTATTTACTGGATGACAAGGTTTCGAACACAATTCATTATTGTTCATAATCATTCCATCAATTATAATCACACAACTTTGAAACTTGAGTTTTATAGCTTTCTTTGTTATTTCCTATTAGTCGTCGTTGGGGTAGTAGAATTTTCCAGATATCTGGGTGTATAGGTGTGGAATCATTCCTGTTACATATATTTCCAGTTGATTCGATAAACAATGTTTCTGTTATCAATCTCTCCCTCCATCCATTCTGTGACATTAGATTTCAAAACTCTCATCTTATCCCATCCCATTCTACTGTATGGTTGTGTGTGTAACTACATGTAGTGAGTGGTATAGCTGAACTATTCTTTAGATTTCTTATCTTATTCAAGTCAATTAATCTAGATTTTGCTAAGTGTTTAATGTTCAGGTAGTCTGACTCACTGACCCTGTTCTAATAGTTCTAATTGAGTTTGTGGTTGGTTTGAATGCCAGCCACTTTTATTCCTGACTTGTTGAGAATTCTGTGTATGGTGTTTTCTGAGGTTCCTTCCTTTTATGGAATTAGCACTGATGATTTCGATTCCTTATTGTTGTTGTCGTCATTAATAATAATATTATTATTGTTACCATTATTATTATTATCATTATTATTGTTGTCATTA